AATAAATGGACGGAAACTTGCCTAAAACATTAACACTTTAGGGGATATTGCTGAATCTATCGCCAAAGCCATGGCTGCTCTAGAAATATCTTTAAATTTACTTTCTCAAGTTGTTTCACATAACTGTATTGCTTTTGACTATATTCTAGAAAAATAAGGTGGTGATGTCTGTGTCACCACCTGTGTGCTTGAATAAATTCTTCAGGATAGATTGAAACACAATCGCACAAAATCAGAGAATAAGTCCATTGGTTATAGGTGCCTCTAGAAAGCTTTTGGGTTTTTGACCTGTTTAAAAAGGACAGTCTCATGGTTTAGAATTATTCTACTATTTGGAATTTGTGTCTTGTTTTTAATTTTAAGAATAATTGCTATTATTAAACTTACTAGAGGCCCGATGCACAAAGATTCATGCAAGAATGGGCCTTCCTTTCTTTCCCTGGCTGCTGTTACCGCCTTCGCTCAGGCCGGAGCCGCCTTTCTGCCTTTGTTCTAGCCTGGAACCACCTTTCTGCCTTCCCATACTGCCCAGAGGCCCAGAGCAGCCTTTCTGCCTTCGTTCCCCTGCTTCCCACACTGCCCAGAGACCTGCAGCAGCTGGGCTGATGTGGAACACCCCCAGCTTCTTGGCTCCTGTGTATGCAAATTAACCTGCCATCTTTGTTGGGTTAATTTGCATAATCACTCCTAACTGGCTGATGGGCATTGTGAAGGTATGGTCAATTTGCATCTTTCTCTTGTATTAGTCTAGATATCTACTATCTTTCACAATGCTATAAGAACTTCACAAAAATAATGGTAGCACAACATTTTGAACTGATTTTTAATCCACATAAAATCTTAGATGGACAATTAAAAGACAAGATTGAAAATGATTAGACTACCTATGCTGAATTCTGCTAACTTTTATTTCATAGAACTGGATGGAAAGCCTTCCTCAGTTTGGCACTGCTATTGCTCAAATGTGGTCTAAAGGCTCCGAAGAAAACCAGTTTCTCTCCTACATGAATATGACATACCAGATATGAACATTCCTGGTGACAGGAGATCACAATGTGAACACATGAGGAAATTGAGAAAATCCACTCCAATGGTTAATCTGTGATCCTTTTGAAAAAATACCTTGATCAGAAGGGGGAAATGTGAAAGTTGACATAAGTGAAGCTGTTTTAAAATGGAGCAGGAGCAGCCATTACAGAGGAACTGTCTTATATGTCCTGCTTTCTGAACCTTTGAATGGGGCCAAACCACCCACATTCCATGTCAGAAAGAGTGAGAATTTTCTGTTGACAGGACCGACAAAAATGAAATTTTACCTAGTGACCATTTCACTTGACCAATCAATGAAGTACAGTGGGGCCTTGACTTACGAGTTTAATTCATTCCGTGACGTAGTTCGTAACTCAAATTACTCGTATGTCAAATCATAAAGTGAACGAGTGAGACACGTGATGCTGGGCTGATGTGGCATTCACTGTGACGTTCGCTGCGCCAACTAGCGGTGGGGTATCTGAAGCTGGCTCGTAACCCGAATTTTAGCTCACAACTCAAAGCAAAAAATCGGCTGAGAGACGGCTCGTATCTCAAAAAACTCGTTAGTTGGGACACTCATAAGTCAAGGCCCCACTGTACAAATCTAGCTTTGTTAGTACCAATGAACTCCTTTAAAACCAACTTACCTCATCTTTCTTTCTTTCTTTTTTTTCATACAAAAGCATGATTCCCTCTTCTGTAATATGGACACTCTTTGGATTTCTACCTAAATCTGTTTACCCTGAAAATTGCCATTCTTGGATTCCCAAATAAATACTTTTGTGTCTTGAACTGGTTCTTGTATTTTAGGCTGACAGAATGGGTTATGGGCTGGAGGCTGGCTGAAAATGATTATAATTGGACATATTTTTTCAAGTATAAATGTCCAGAAGGCTATTGGTTATAGTGTATGGAACTCAGAAAGGGGATCAGTGTTAAAGATGGAGGTTGAAACCATAGGAGTGTAGATATCCCTTAGAGAATGTATATGAAGTGAGTAAAGGGATGGATATAGAATGTTAGAGCTTACTGCCATTTAAAAATTTGGCAAAGGAAGAATATTCCATGAAATATATTGTTGTTTTGCAAACTGACCCCTACCCCCACATACACACACAAAGGCAGGCCATTCCAGATTGTTAGGTTGTAGGTTTAATAAGCAAGAGAACTTACATACCAGGCTTGTCTTGGATAGCTGCAAGATACGTAGATCTTCACATCCACCCACAAGAATCTTAAATGATTATATAGAGGCCTTAGCTGGGTTCAGTCATATATTCAGTCCAGATGGTCTCAACAACACCTTACTTCCTCAAGGTTATTTCTTTGAAAAGGCTGCTAGTTTGGGAATGAATGGGGAACCACCAATAGTCTGGGTCAAGCTCAAGGGTCTTATCCTCTTGATGACCTCCTCCAAAATATATTGAGAAGGAACAAGAAAAGAGATAGTAGATAAAGTGAATTTTCCATGAGTATTTGGAATTGAGAGGCCCCTTTTTCTGTGATATGTCATAAACATGACTGAATATTGAGCACAAAAGTTGGTAGAGAAGATGTTGTAGATAAAGGGAAAAAGAATAATGACATCAGGACATGTTCCAGCAAGTCAATCTTCCATGTGCCTAAAATGTATTTTCAGAAACAAAAGCAAAAATAACAACAACAAAATACTTAAATATCTTGTAGGGAATTTTTATGAAACATCTCATATTATTTTTGCCACAGATGTTGAATAAACTTTACCTTTATTTTGGTGTATTAGTGAATTATGGCTGCAATTATGCTGCATATCAAATAACCATAAAAATCTCCAAATCATGAAATGCTCAGCAGTTATTGCTAGTGTCTGTAGGTTGTCATGGGATCAGCTGATCTAGGATGTGTGTAACTGGAAATATTGCTCCAAGACATGTACCTGGCTAGATTGGGCTTCTTACTTCTTTTGGGCTCTGTTCTCACCTGCAAATATTCATTCTGGCTGAGGAAGAGGCAGTGGTAATACCTGGAGGTTCTTCTGCAGGAGAAGGCAGAGGTGCAGTACAGCAAGCCCAGTTGTCCAAGGGCTTTCAGGCCTCTACTTGTATTGTGTCTGATGATTAACCAAGGCAAGTCACATGGATGAGCCCAAAACCAAGGGAGTTGTTCTTCACGCCAGGAAGTGGGGAGAGGGAAAGACAGTAAATAATGAAATTATATATATATATATACTAGAGGCCTGGTGCACAAAATTCGTGTGGGGGCAGGGGCCCTCAGTCTGGCCTGTACCCTCTCCAATCCAGGACCCCTTGGGGAATGTCTGACTGGGATCAGGCCTAAACCAGCAGTTAGACATCCCTCTCCCATTCCCGGACTGCTGGCTCCTAACCACTCATCTGCTTGCCTGCCTAATCATCCCTAACCACTCTGCTTGCCTGCCTGATGCCCTTAACTGCCCTCCCCTGCCAGCCTGGTCACCCCTAACTGCCCTCCCTGCCAGCCTGATTGCCCCTAACCACCTCTGCCTTGGCCCCCTCCACCGTGGCTTTGTCTGGAAGGCTGTCCAGTCTAATTAGCATATTACTCTTTTATTAGTATGTATTAATAAAGATATTAATTTTATTATATCTCACCTGAAGATATTTTTTCCATTGATACTTAGAGAGAGATAGAAACATCAATGTGAGAGAGACATATTGATTGGTTGCCTCCCACACACTCCCCAACCTGGGCAGGGATCAGCCTGCAACTGAGGTACACGCCCTTGGCTGGAATTGAACCTACAATCCTTCAGTCCAAGGGCCTGAGTTCTAATCACTGAGCAAACTGGCTAGGTCAATATTTTTGAACAAGTATTGAAGCTCTCACACTTGGTAATTCGGAGTGATTATATTAACCATTTTCTGTGCTATGCTGTAAGGTAGTCAAATTCAGTATTATTGAAGTATTTATCATTGTTTGATTGTGATGAAATGATCCCTCCTGCTGCTGCATTCTGAATCTGCTCCTTCGTAATGCTGCCACTGTATCTATAAGCTATTCTTAATTTCTGCTTAATTTCACACACGGCTCTTTGAGTGAATACTTGCAGGTGAAACTCAGCTATTTAACAGTTCTTTTTCTTGTTGCTTCACTATACCCCCCCCCCCCCCCCCCGTTATTTGGCATTGTTAAAACGTTTGCTAGTCTGACAAATGGAGCATTTTTTGTGCATGTATTTTTATTTTAATCCTTCCTCCTCAAAAAGTGGTAAATGATTAGCCTTTTTTAAAAAAATGAGTTGTATTTTCTTATAAAGTATCTTCATCTATACATGATGCCTGTATTTTCATAAGAAGACATTGATCAACTATGAGGTGAAAAGTACTTAATTGCAAAAGTTCTTAAAAATTAAAATTTTATGTGCATGCCCATTTTTTATTCAAATGACGAAGCATTTCCAACATGTGGAAAGAGCTCACCTATTTTTTATGCAGTTGGAGATATATTTAATTGAAACTAATGTCCTATCTAGCTATCTATCTATTATCTATCTATCATCTAAATATCTTTCAAAGAAGACTTGAGTTTTCCAGTAAGTTTGTTTTTTTACAGCCCGTACCCAGTCTTCAGTCATATATCTACCATTTGTTCCCTCCGCCTATTGTGTCTGTGCTGCACTTATATACAATTCCTTTCATCCACAGAGATTATTTTATTGGTCTATACTCTAGTTTCATCCTAAGCAATACAATCCACAAAGATATCACCTAGAAGTGCGAGGTACTTTTTTAGTGCACATCAAAATAAATGCACAATCATTAAAATAAAATAAAAATGCCACTCTGTGTCATCTTGCATATCCAGTTTATAGCTATCATTACCTAGCATAACATGCAGAGGGAAGCAGTGTTTTAAGGGCAGCTCTGCCAAACTAGAAATGTACAAAGCTAACTAAGCAACAGTATCTTTTGAAAAGAGTCATTTACTTTTACTTTCCAATTATTTTTCAGGTTTGTGGAAGGCATGCTTAACATTTGTTATAATGCCATTGATCGTCATATTGAAAATGGCAAAGGAGATAAGATTGCTATCATCTATGACAGTCCTGTTACAAACACTAAAGCAACTATTACCTATAAAGAAGTCCTGGAGCAGGTAATATCATACATTTTCTGTATATGTTATTTAGAAGTCATAAGGAAATTATTCAAATAGCATACAAGATCATTGTATAACCTTTACTTCTCTTAATCCATTGACATGTTACCATACTTGTCCTTTGATGCACAGTGGACATAGAGATGTGTTAACTCTTTTAAAGTGTTTCTATTCCTTAAAGTTCTATTTTACAGAACTGGAAATCCCTAAGAACAGGTTTAAATCCTCTCTGGTCTTTGTTTTCCATCTCCATTGCCATCACCTCCATCCAGCTATTCTAATTTTAGCTTTTGTACTATTGAGGCTGTCTCCTAACTTCCTTATTACCAGGTCTGCTCATGTCAGATCTTCACCTAAACTGGCACCAGAGATTTTTTTTTTCTAAGAAACAACATATTTCTTTACCCCACTTAAAATTTTTTTCCTTAAAGATTACTGTTATTCAGAAAGTAAAATATGGACTGCTGTGATGTATAAGACACATTGGATTCTGATCACAGCATCCCTCATAGTTTTATTTCCCAATATTCGTGGCCATGAACACAACTGTATTTTCACCCTGGGTGTCCTATCACTCCCTCAGGCACTCCTGGCCCTTTACAGCTCTTTGCCTGGGCTCATTCCTTTCCCCTATTGATTCTTTTTCAGTTTTTCCCCACCTGTGTAGTTCTTAGGTGAATCATGATATTGACAGATGAGTTTTGAGACTTTCTTTGAACATTAGGGTAGAAATGAGGTTTCAGAGGCAATCATAACAGTGTCTGGGTATTGTGGACAGGGGGAGAGTTATTTTAGCTCTGTGGGGCATTTATATCTGATTTAAAGGGAAATAGTAGTGTAGGACAGGGTATCTCAATTTTGACACTATTGACATTTTAAACCAGAGAATTCTTTGTTGTGGGTGCTGTTATGTACATTGTAGGATGTTTAGCACCCCATTTTCTACTCATTAGATGTCAGCAGCACCCCTCCCACCCACTGTGATGGTCATAAAGGACTCCACATGCTGCTAAATGTCCCCTGGGTGTCAAAATTACCGCTAGTTAACAACTACTGGTTGAATAGTCTGTCATGCCAGGGTTTTCAAGCAATTTGCTTTTAAATTAAGGCTTTTTGAATCACATTTTCTTCTTTTGCTTTTTTTTAAAAAACCTATTTAGGGCTTCCATTCAGTTTTTAGAAAGTTTGCTCAACTTTCTCTGACTCTGAAATTACATCCTTTTGCGTCCACAATGTTCCTGTTTAGCCTTCTAAGAGAATTCAAGAAAGGCAACTGAGACAAAACAATGAACTCCCCATCCTGACTTGTCGCTGTCAAGAGAAAAAACAGAAGCCAGTTTTGCTCAGACTGGGTGACAATCCCTGCTTCAGCTGATTTAAACATTGAGGGATTTATGAAAAGGAAAGAGACTCAGAAAAATGGCACATCGCAAGGTAGAAGAGGCAGCAGTGGAGAGTTAAAGAGAGCCCACAAATTGTCTAGAAATTAGAGTTGCTGACTTGAATCAGTTTCCTTCTAGATTGACAGAGTAGGAATTGGGGCCCTGCCTCCCTCTAGTACTTATACTTGGGGAATTCCAATCTGATAAGAAGTAGATAGCCCAAGACAGAACAAACAAAATAGTTCTGTAAATATACTATTGGATACTTTAGATTGGTCTGTAAGCTGGAACTGTGTATTTTCTGAATAAATTATACAGAGACAGAGCTTCTCTTAGGGCTGAGGAAGATATGCATGCCAAATGAATGACTTTGTTATCCATTTGAGGCTCTGCCTTAATAATTCAGCATCAGTGTCTTGATAACCTATTAATTCCATATTTTATTTTAAGTTTGCATTTTTAGAAGGTTTATTCTTTGATTCAAAAGTTACTCCTCTTTAGGAATATTGTCACATTCCCATTTGATATTATTAGGCCTTACATACTAGTAAATTTTAATTGGTATACAGATTATGAATCTAATTTACATATTAGAAAAATGTTATCTATATGAACATATTATATTTGATACATAGCCAAACATCAGAGTCAAAGAAAAAGCTTCAGAGAAACCTAAAAACAGAAGAGTTAAATAATGATTGTTGCTCTTCTCATTTACATTTTCTTTTTAACCAATTACATACATTTATATGATAAATACATGTCCACATTTGACTTAGAAGCTGTTTTGCTTACTCATCTTGTTTTTCCAATATTAAATGTAGCTTCATTTCCTTTTGAGGTTTGTATTGGTTTATTGGTTTCAGTTCAGCTTGTCATCGAGCACTTAAAAGGTCTGCTTCTGTCCCCTGCTGACAGCCTGAGTCCCCAGGCTTTGCTTCTCCAAAGAACTGAAGGAGGACCTGCTCAGAAAGAGGGACACATTGTGCTGCACTTCGATTACCGGCTCCTGGTTGCCTTTGGCCTTTATTTTATTAAGTAGAGAAGACGGAGAAGGATTTAATGGGTAATGCCATTGCAAATAAACAGAAAGAAGTGTCTTTGCACTCTACTTGTTTTAATCTCCCCTCTCATTTCTACTGGGAGCTTCTGGCTAGGTAAAACTGCACCTAGTATTTCTTATTTAATTAGTGAACCAACTAGTTGAAGGCTAAATTGGTTCCGTGACATGAAAGAACTGGAGATTTTACAGAATGATTCAGAATTAGAGCTTTTTCCAAAATCGCCATCTTTATGTAGATCTGATAACGTAAATAACTCTTTAAGTTTTCTATAGAGAGATTTGAGCCTGGTTTAAGATCCGGCATTCATTCAACAAATATTTATTTTATATGCCAAACCCTGTTAGGAGCATAAGATACCAGGCAAATGGACCCATTCCTTATTTTCAAGGGGTTACAATAGCATGTAAACACAGTAAAGAATATGATGGGGGTAATGCTATATTCTGTGGAAACACATGGGAAAACCCTCAGCTCAGCCAGGAGGTCACAGTGTTGGCGGTGGCAAGAACAGCACCAGGTGTGAGACCAGAGGGGTAAGACAGGACCTGGGTTCAGCAATCTCAGTACTTGAGTTCTGGCTAAGAAAGAATTCAGACCCAAGACCCAAACTATAAGAGAACATTTATTTAGAATATCACATAGGTGGAAGAAATGAGTGGTAGAAGAAATGGGCTCAGGAAACAAATTACAAAGGCAAAAGAAGGGTCCTTGGAGCTTAGGAGAGAGGAAGGTAAAGGTAACGTGCCTGGGGGGAATAGAAGGAGGATAAAGCAGGTGGAGGGAGCTCCTGGGAAGAGAGAGTATATACTAGGTCCTCTGTCCTAAGGGTTTAAGGGTGGAGATTTTAGGGGTGATCCCGGGAGAGGATCTCAATAGAATATTCAGCAGCTTTCCAGGTGTGTCCCTTCAGGATCTGGGTCTCCGCTGATTGGTCAGCACCCGGGCAGGGGGTCATTATTCATTACATCTGATCCTGACCTTAGCCATGGAGTCCCTTGTCTGGTTTTGTTGCTTTTCTGGGTCTGTAGCTGAAACACAACTGAGGTCTAGATGTTATTTCTAGGGAAGAAAGGTCAGGGGGTTTAAACCGAATGAACAATGATATGAAAGATCAGAGGATCCAAACCCCATGACCAGCGACATGCTAGGGGACAGAAGGTTACCCTGGGGTTGAGGTTCTTGTTTTTCCAGTTTTGTCCTAGAAAAACTGGCACCCAGGGCTTTCCGCCCTGGTGACCTTCTGTCCCTGGCCCATCACCCCTGCTCAGTTTATGTGTAACTGCCTACCACAATAGGACACAAGAAGGCTTTCTGGAAGAGTCAATACCTAACATTGGCACAGAGGACCAAAAGTGGGAAGGGAAAACGGGGGAGAAGTTCTTGCAGCTGAAGGAACAGGACATACAGCGATACTCAGGGAAGAGAGAGCCTGGTGCCCACAGTGGATTTGGTAAAGTGCAGCACAAGCGATTTTAGGGAGAGAGGAGGCTGGAGTGAGGCAGACTGGAGGTCTGAGAGTGCCACACTCTGTATTTGTATTTTATCCTGAAGGCAGTGGAGAGAAGACAACAAAATCCAACTCTGTGACCTGTGGTTCATTGTGATCTGGCTCCTGTAACCTACTCCTGGGGCCACCATGCTGTCCTGCAGGCCCCAGCTGCCCTGGCTCCTACAGCCAGCTCTCCTGGTCTGCTTCATTCCCCCTGAGAGCCTTTGTTCTTCCCCGCCATCTGCTGGAGGCAGTTGAGTGTTGTTTTCTCTTGTAGGATGTAAGGTCCATGAGGGCAGGGATTTTTGTTTTGTTTACAGGAACAGTGCTTGGTACATAGTAAATATTTGTTGATTGAAGAAGGAATGGATGAATGAAATACCATTTGAGATTCCTAAGTGACTCTAATTTCCTTTATTGCAGAAAATTCTTATCTTTAAATTGCATCAGTAATAGAACTTGATCTTTCCAAGTAAATTTTTTTTAAAATATATTTTATTGATTTTTTACAGAGAAGAAGGGAGAGAGATAGAGAGTTAGAAACATAGATGAGAGAGAAACATCGATCAGCCGCCTCCTGCACATCTCCTACTGGGGATGTGCCTGCAACCCAGGTACATGCCCTTGACCGGAATCGAACCTAGGACCTTTCAGTCCGCAGGCCGACGCTCTATCCACTGAGCCAAACCGGTTTCGGCAAATTCTAACTTCTTAATATCTGTAAAAGATTTTAGCTTTTTTTAATATTTGGCTTGGCAGTTTAGGATGAATATTTCCTCTTTGAATTTCCCACCTACACAACTCAGATCTGTATTCCAGGAGATGGGTATATGTTTGTTGTGTCCTTTTCTTAACTCTGTTCAAGCTAGTAGCTATATCAAATCTCAGTGAAATAAAAGGTGTGCGTGTGTGAAAGTTTCTTTGTATGTGTTTGCATATATCATATACAGTGTTTATCATTTTTAGAAATTCCTACATTGAATTTAATTTGTTCAACTCTGATTTTATTTCAAATTTACCTTTGTCTCTGGTAAATTTGTTTTATTTATATCAATACAATTA